TAGCCACTAAACTATTTATTGCTAATTTCTGTCTGCTAACTATATTATCCTTTTTCAAATGACAGTAAAAATGTTACCAGATGGCGCAGTTAGCACTCTCCTGCTGATATGTGACACAGATAAGCAGTAAAATGAGAATGAAGGAGATACCAATCTGAGGTTAAAATACTCAGTAAACCTTACTTATTTCCTATTTGTTTACCAGCCCTGACATAAATCATAACAATAAAATAATAATAATCCTTAAAATGACACAGGGTCTTTTACACCCACAGGATGTCCCATGGCGCTTCACAACATTTACTCTGAAGTGTAGTGACTTTAGTGTGCGTTTTGTAAGCAAATCAATTTTAAAGCCCTCTCTATATCTGTGACCTACTAAAACATTACCAACCTGCTTAATCCTCTATTCTGTAGCCTGCTCCATATACCCCTCCCTGCCCGCTCCACTTTCAGCGGTTGGGCCTTCAGCCTTTCAGCCCCCACCCTCTGGAACTTCATCCCAGAGCCCCTCCACCTCACCCCCTACCTTACCTCCTTCAAGGCCCATCTCAAGATCATGCCTTCGGTCACCCTGCCACCTCCACCCCTGTGCCCTCCACCCCTATTGACTCCAATCCCAAGCTCGGCTGCAAACCCTTCACTTCCATCGTCCTCCCGACATGAAAGACACTATATAAATGTAATTTATTATTTGCTGTTGTTCAAATGTTCAAATGATGCACAGCACTGGAGCTAAGGTTACTGTATTTATAAACTGGGAGCTGGTGATTTTCTCTTGGTCTATTTCACAGCTGAAAAAAGTCCCCAAGCTGCAACAAAAGATTGGAAAGAAAGATATCAGCCACAAAGCAGGACTTTGAAATTACCCTTTGGCTAAAAAACATCACTCTACTTTACAATAAATCCTGTGAAAGTGTTTTGAGTTTACAATAAATCCTATGAAAGTGTCCTACCTCCATTAAAGGTACTATATCAAATGCAAGGATAATTATTATCAAAACAGTTGTTGCAAACCTTTTTTTAAGTGCACTTAATATTAAATTTGTAAGCATTACATGCTTTCAGTTGTAATTAGCAGAGCAAATGTTGCATTTTCCACCCTATTGTCCCCTCTAAACAAGGATGTGGATTGAGCAATCAGGATTAATATCTTTGACTGGAAGACTGAGGGACGACACTAAAATTGAGATTATGATAATAATAATCCTTACGTTTGATATAGAGTCTTACCATGTTGTCGAAATGTCTCAAAGTGTTTCACAGGATTTTTACTGTAGTGACTATATTTTTTAGGCAAACGTGGCAGCAATTGTGTGCCATACAAGGTCCCATAAACAGCCATGAAGTATCACCAATTATATCTGGAGGATTGTTGACCAGAACACCGTAATAAGCTTTTTCGATAGTGCTATAGGATCTTTAACCCGCACCTAAATAAACAGACAGGAACTCAGTTTGACGTCTCATCTGAATGAGAGGTAATAATAATAATAATAATAATCCTTGCATTTGATATAGCGCTTTTCACATCGGAAGGATGTCCCAAAGCGCTTCACAGAACACACTGTAAAGTGAATTGACTGTATATTTGTGGGCGAACGCGGCAGCCAATTGCGCACAGCAATGTCCCACAAACAGTCGTAGATTAAAAATGACCAATTTATTATTGTTTTTTGTTTTGGAGGGATTATTATTAGGCGTGTGGAGTAAGGAAACTTGCCCAAGGTTTCACCCTGCCTGGAATTGAACTCAGGTCTCTCACTTGCAAAGCGAGTGCTCTAACCACTGAGCTACAGGACTCCGACAGGTAGACGGTTACTTCTATTTCTGCTTCCTTTCAGACCAACTCACCACAGAGCCCTGCAATGGAGTGCCAGCCTCAAAAATTGCACAGTGAGGGTTTAAAAAATAGGGATTGGGCATTTCAGCTTGTGTCCAGCAAATACAATGGAATCAATTTAAACGAAGTCTAGATTTCAGGTTTGGCATCACAAGAATGTGGCACAGCATGCTCCTTGGCACGAATGTATGTCACAAATCCACACAACATATGGTTGAGAAGCTCACAGATCTTGAGGTGAAGCTGCATTGTAGGAATATGTACTTTGTAAATGACAATAAAATTCTTGGTTGAAAAATGAAATGTAACATTTGAAAAATTAGATTGGCCAGCATGCAAACATAATGCTGAAGAATACATTTGGAAATTTTGGATTCAATTCTTGCTCAATCGAATGTTTACTGTTTTGTTGAAATTTGTCGGGAAAAGTGATTGTAAATAGCAATCCAATGCCTCTGTTGGAATAATAATATTAATAATGATAATAATAATAATTCTTGCATTTGGTACAGCACCTTCCAGGTCAGGAAGAGAACCCAAAGCACTTCACAGGATATACTGTGAAGTGGAGTGATTGTGTATTTATGGGAGAAGACAGCAGCCAATTTGCACACAGCTAATATCCCACAAATAGCCATTAAATGAATGACCAATTTTATTTTGGGGGATTGTTGGTCAAGACACTGGGAGAAACTCCCCTCTCTTTCGAATAGTGCCATGGGATCTTTAATGTCCACCTGAACAGGCAGGCGGGATCTCGGTTCTAACATCCCCCAGCACAGCAAAAAAAAATTGGTCACTCAATCCACGACTATTTGTGGAACACTGCTGTGCACTATTGGCTGCCATGTTTTGCCCACAAAACATACAGTCAATTCACTTTACAGTATATTCTGTGAAGCGCTTTGCGACATCTCAAAGACGTGATAAGGCACTGTATCAAAATGCAAGGTTTATTATTATTGGAGTATCATCTTAGACTATGTGAGTTCAAGTCCTCATGTTTTCATACCAACTTTCTGACTCAGAGGTGAGAAGTGTTATCACTGAGCCTGGCTGTGATAAAGACACTGAAACAAGTATAGAAATCATGAAGACATCTTTTTATGTGACCGCCAGGAAGGTGGTAGGCGAATTAGATGGACCTTGGTCTTTTATTCGTCTCGTGTTTCTTATGTTCTTATAGTTTGATCCCCAGAATGTCTTAGGATAGCTGTCCTCCAATGTCACATAGCTTATTCACTACCCACGTGTGAAGAATGGCAACCTAAAGTGACTGTTCTGATGAAAACTTGGCAAACGTAGAAGAGGATGAGGAGAGTAGGGATAAAAATGGGTCCTTACTTTTCCTCGTTTTTCTTCAACTATTCTATTTTGTAACCTGTTGGAGTATGATTCCACAGGCAAACCAAGTGGTGATATGTCACCAGAGGGGTGATTCTTAATAAGCAAATGTATCAGGTCCTCACCCAACAACAACAGCAACTTGCATTTTCAAACACTACGTAAATGCAAGTGAGGAGCGCTATATTTATATATATATATATATATATATATATATAGTTGTTTTCCAGCAGAAAATGGTCACTGGATCACATGGGTTTTGTCTGCTGTAGCCCAAGGTGTTGAATCCTATGCCCGAGATCAACTAACTCAGGACTATTCAAGAATCAACACTGGGAATTGTTGGAATTCCATACTCCTGTACTATTGGAGCTGCCCAACATTGTCAGTTTTTGATTTGCTTTCAATGAACTTGAACAAAACATTCTCCAACAGTTCTGTAACATCTTCAGGCATGTCATAGTTTCGTAACCGCAGTTTAGGAGAGATCAGTTGGTATGATATATAGTTCAATGGATTGAATCATTGCCCTTTTAAGGAATCAGTCAAATAATTTATTTTCCAAGAATTTCTGGGAAGCCTCCAGATTTCTAATAAATATTCCTATAAATTCTAATATGGGAGACATCAACGAGTGAGTAACCTTCTGTAAACTTAGGGAAACCATTCCCTTCCCTTCCATCTCCGGAAAGTTCGGTTTCCTAATTTATTGCATCTCATCCTCTTTTGATAAGTGATATTCGTGAAGCTCAGTCATGGGATGTTTAGTCTTTTATAAGCTGTAAGCATTTGGTGTTGGATCAGGATACAACATTACTTGTGTTGGTAGCAACCATTGTTCTTGGCAGCAGTTGTAGAAATACACTCCAGAGCTCATCTGATAACACTGGCTGGGATTTCATTGAAAGGTCCTTGCCCAGATATTCCCAGCCGCTGCTCAAAAGACCTCTCTTCAAATGCTCCGAGATCCTACCATGTGAAAGGCACTAAATAAACTCAAGTTGTTGTTGTTGGCCTTCAACCACAATGTCCTGCTCTCTAGATTTTTCAAAAGGGAATTGGATATATACTTGAAAAGGAAAAAGTTGCCAGGCTATTGGGAAAGAGTGAGGGAATGGGACTAGTTGGTAGCTCTTTCAAAGAGCTGGCACAGGCACGATGGGCTGAATGGCTTCCTTCTGTGCTGTAGAATTCTATGATTCTATGATCTCTCTCCATAGATTCCTTCGTTTTGCTCCTTCTCTGACTGTCTGCAAAATCTTTTTAAAAAAAAACTCTCCTTAACCCTCCTTTCGGTCAAAATTCTTCCTGCTCTCTATTGTTTCTGTGAAGTGTTTCTGGATGATAATAATCCTTGCATTTGATATAACTCCTTATCACATTGCTGAGACGTCTCAAAGCACTTCACAGGATATAATTTAAAGTCATGTGACTGTGTGTATTTTTGTTCGTCTTTGGGCTGGTCTGTCATCAGCAGTACTGTAAACCCACATGGCTCAGGAACTGGATGCCTGAGATTGCCACAAGGGGTAGGCTCGATTCCAACATACCATTGCCAAGACATACCATTGTCACCTTGGACATACTATATAAATGTAGGTTGTTGTTGTTTAATGGGGTAGTTTTCAAGTAGAGCACTGTTAAACATGGAATCCTTTGTCACAAGTGGCTATCCAGGTTGAAACCATAACAATATTTTAAAAATAACTGCATAAACATATGAAGAAGATTATAAAAAGTAATGTGGGGAAAACTTGAAATTGGAATCAGAATATTGTAAATAGCTCTTGTGGATGAGCTAACATCATCTTACCTGTCATACAGTATCTTCACTTCTCCTTCAATGCTCTCTCCTCCAATGCCCTCTCCTCCCATCCTGCATAGTCACATGTGAAATACCTTAGACTCTATCCTAGGTCCTCTCTTCTTCACCACCCTTATGAGCACCCCCTCTTCCCCCCACCCCACGTGAGATCTAAATCAAGATTCTCATCCTTATATTAAAGCATCTCCATGACCTTGCCCACATACACACACACACACACACACACACTGTCAGCGAGTGAGCCTTCAGCTCGTCTGGAACTCCATCCTGGAGTCCCTCCACCTTGCTCCCTCCCTTTCCCTCTCCAAAATCTCTTCAACTATGCTTTCATTACCTTTTGCTTCAGTTTTCTTAACTAAATGCACAGCTTCCCCAGTTTGGACATCTAATCAGCTATGTGAAACATTTTGAGGTATCCTTCCGACATGAAATCAGCTATTTACAGTAAGTGTAAATTGCAGTTATTGTTGTTGCTAAATAGGCTCCTATGTTATACATTCTATGTGGATCCATCAGTAAGTCTGAATAGAGGAAATATTTAATGAAAGTGTTTGTGAACAGCAGAGAAAAACATCTCATTGGAATCAACTGTGCACTGATGCTGCATAGCAAGAAGACTGACAGAAACTGACAAACATTTACTTGTTGTAGAAATTAGCTGTGCATTTAATTAAGAAAACTATACAAATTGTGCTTGGCATGCACGCTTGTTCAAAGCGTGTTTTACTAAATGTTGAAGAGTGTCTGAAGCATCATGCAGCTGCTGTGATCAAGGTTATATAGTCACATTTTGCAAGGTTGAGTGATTAAATAGATCAAACAGGCATACAGTATTTTGTTCAACGGACATCCTGTAACTTATTCCATGTTTATGCTGAATCTAGACTCGCAGCAATAGAGTGATGTGGAGCAGGACTCCTCATTTATAGTGACTGCTCCTCATCCCATGTGTTGGACACAAAAATACCTTAAAAACCCAGTCATATAATCTTACAGCACAGAAGGAGGCCATTTGGCCCATCGTGCCTGTTTGAAAAAGCTATCCAATTAATCTCACACCCCTGTTCTTTCCTTATAGGCCTGTAATTTTTTCTTTTCAATTATATATCCAATTCCCTTTTGAAAGTTATTATTGAATCTGCTTTCACCACCCTTTCAGGCAGTGCACCTCAGCTTGTAACAAATCACTGGGTAACATATTTTTCTCCTCGTCTCCTCCCTGTTTTTTTGCCAATTATCTTAAATCAATGTCCCCTCGTTACCGACCCACACGCCAGTGGAAACAGTTTCTCCTTATTTAATCTATCAAAACCCTTCATAATTCTGAACACCTCAATTAAAGCTCCCCTTAACGTTCTCTGCTCTAAGGAGAACATGTGCAACAAAGTGAAGGGCAGAGCTTAGAAATTGGTTTTTAATGTTATTAAAAAAAGACTCCTCAATAACCAGAGAGAAATTCACTTCTCTTATTAAAGGGGCATCCAGGCAGATGGGACATCAGATTAACATCTCGTCCCATATACAGCACCTCTTACAATGCATCCCCCAGCACAATAATTTGTGGAGGGGAGGATGTAGGATCCTATGATAGAAGATCAGCTCTTGACATGAGGCTCAAACACATGACCTTCGGAGTCAGAGCTGAGAGTGCTACCAACTAAACCAGGCTGAAACCTAATTTATATTACACACCTACATAATTAAATCAATAGAGGAGTAAAGTTAGAAAATATTACTAAAGTATTCTTGAGGTGGAAAAATTTAATTGTGGCTGAAATTAACATTGACATTTTTTTAAACAATGTACAGTATTTAACTGAGTCAATTCGACTGATCTCTCCCCCAGTGAGGATGTCAGATGCTTTCTCTCCTGCTGTATTGCAGCATGAATAATATGATCTGATTGATGCTGGCACATCCCCAATTTAATCTGCACGTTGCTACAAAATTGGATATTGTACTCTGATGCAATTTCTTAATTACACTTAATCGTGGGAAAGATATTATTGCCCTAGAAAGGATGTAGAAAACCACAGCCATAAATTATTTTTAAAAGAATTAGATGCTTCAAAAGGAATACTGAAGGATTTCAGTCACAGGAAACCAACTTTATAGAAATGCACTATAACATTCGGAAGAAATGTCACTTGGATCTAGATTGCCTCTAATTATGTAGAATTTCAGAATTCTGTCAAATTCTTAAACACATCCTTATTTTTTAAGTATTTCATTTTCTGTGAGTTCCACATTCTAAAGTACTACAGGAAATATACTTCAATGTTAAGACTGAATTCATCTTGTTGCCAAATTCCAGCTGCTCTGAAGTCCCACATAAAATGAGTAAATCAGGACCCAGGTGAAATTTCTCCCTATCTTCTATGTTTCTCAGTTGCAATCGCCCCCACAATAATAATCCTGCATTTGATATAGGGCCTTATCACATCATTGAGATGTCTCAAAGTGCTTCATAGAATGTACTGTAAAGTGAACTGACTATATATTTTGTGGGCAAAAATTAATAAAGCTCTTGGATTTTGATATTTGACACTTAGTCTTTATATAAAAAATTGAGCTTTTTGACAGAAAAGCAACTGCATTCTATACTGTACTATCAGCTGTTTTATTTGTGCTCCAACAACAAAGGTGTTCTATTGCCGAAAGTTCAATCATCATTGGCAAAGGCAAAAGGAGGAACAAAATTGATATAGTGTCTTACAATAGAGCAAATTTGATTGGTTCGATTTCACCAATAATGGTTTTCTGCAAGATCTGCAAAAGGATAAAATCCTGGACAAGGAAGAAATCTTTGGAGAAAGACATATGTAATCTGTTTTTAAAGCTCACATTCCTCTTAAAATGCTGTGACACACAGTTTAGAGGCATCAGTCACGTTAAAGTAAATGACCGTTTCCTCATTTGACCCCATCAATAAAAGCTTACCAATACACATCAAGGGCACACTGGTTTGTATAGTATATCACAATGTCAGAGCAGATGCTTTAGAAAGTTTTGTATTGTTTAGTCTTCATAAGCAGCACCTGACAAAACATTGAATGGGAGGAGACATGATCTCGAGCCCAGTCTAGGCTAACCAAGATGACTAACAGAGGAGCTGCAACGGACAAGAATTGGTTATCCTTGAATGTAAAGTAATAATAATAATCCTTACATTTTATATAGCGCCTTATCACATCATCGACACGTCTCAAAACCCTTCACAGAATGTACTGTAAAGTGAATTGACTGTATATGTTATGGGTGAAACACCGCAGCCAATTGCACACAATTGTGTCACAAACAGTTGTAGATTGAATGAGCACATTTTTTTAAAAAAGGATTACAACCCCCGGAAATGCGATCCGCCAAACGACTAACAACCAGGTTCCTACTTACTGCTAGATGAACAGAGGCGTGTGGAGTAAGGAAACTTGTCCAACATTTCGCCCTGCCGGGGAATACGAACCCAGGTTCTCTCGCTTGCGAGGCGAGTTCTCTAACCACAAACCTATAGGACCCCAAGAGATTCCAGAGAAGTAGTGAGATTCCACTGTATTGCTCCCCTTCTAGAAAGCATTTTTTAATGTTTGATCTTTGTGTGAAACATGAAGTTGTTTGAGAGGGAAGTAACATTAGAAATGACCTTCAGCTGCCACCAATCTAGAATAATTGGTCATTCACGTCATGACTATCTGTGAGACTTTAATGTGCATGAATGGTTCCTGCATTTGCCAATAAAAAAACAATGACTACATTTTATAGTAATTACTGTAAAGCACTTTGAGATCTTCAATGTTTTATGCATTATAAAAAAGGAAATTCTTTCATGTTCTCTCTATAATAGATCAATCACTTGTTCATGTTCTTCTAAAACAACATGACATCAGAATAATAATAATTCTTTATAATCTTTGCATTTTACATTCCACGTTTCATGTAAGGAGGAGGTTTTAAAGTGCTTCACAGGATTTACTGTAAAATGTAGTGACTGCACCAGACAAATAGGTGAATGCAGCAGCCAATTTGTATACGGCTATATCCTGTAAACAGTCATGTAGTGGATGACCAATTTTTATCTAGGTGATTGATGACCAGGATACCAGGAAAAACTCTTTTGTTTCTTTGTAGTGCCATAGTATCTTTAACCCCCCCCCCCCCTCACCTGCACCATTGCTTAAGGTTATCAACCTAGATTTTCAGCTAAAAATCTTGACGTGGAACATGAACCCACAATCTTTTTTGATAGAACTTGGTATCTGACACATCCAGAAACCCATCACCATGCTTAAGAGTATCCAAATCAAACTGAGAATTCCATGAATGCCACCACCTACACATAGAAATGACCACATTTGGAACTCTCTCCCCAGAGTGACACATCCTGCTTATCTAATTCCACAAATAATTTAGCGCAGCTTGAAAAGAGCCAAGGGTTGAGGACCCCAGAGAGTGTATTGCGGTACTCTGGAGTCTAAGCAGCTAAAACCACATAGCTTGCTATGAAACCACTGTTTGGCAAAGCTCCTACTGCTTGACCAGCTAGGGCCACCTTACCCTTTAGGGCTTTGGCTTGCATGGTTAACACAACCTTCTATCTTAGAGGCAAGTGCAGGACAAACTGAACCAGGCTGATACCTGATACCCTTATTCCCCTTTGTTATTTATTTACCAGTAACAATTTTTCAATATTTATCTTCTCAAATCTTCCACAATTTTAAAAACCTAATTTACAACCCTTATAATCTTTTCTATTCCAGCGTAAACAAATCCAAACATTGGAGCTTATCTTCGTACCTAAAATCCTTTATCTCATTTATTATGCACATGTACCTATCTTGTTGCCACTTTCATTTAGATACGAGTTTGCACATCTAGTTCCACAGCAGGAGTTCATTTGGTCAGTAAATATTCCCAACCTCAGACTCATTCTAGAACAGAAGTGGTAAGAAACCCACGTCACTGAGACTGTTTCCAACAGTGGTCTAAGGCAGAACTATTACACATGAATAAATTAATGTCATCTTAATCCAGAGAAGTTGAGGGAGGGGAGAGC